ATTGCCTCCTATTGTAAATAACGAATCGAACCGAGAACGAGGAGCTGGCCTGTCGCGTTGCCGTTCGTGTTCCGTGGTATTAATTGACCTTTCTCCAAATTACCAATGCAGTATGCATACGTAATTATTATTTGAATAAAAAAAATATTAGCTTGACGTACAGTGATATATTTTTTGAGCAAATACAACGTAGGGACTTCACGGAGTTATTTGCCAAGGGAATTTTAAATATTTTTATACTAAGGGGTACCTAAACTTGCTATATGAACTTGAGTAAAATTTAAAAAAAATAACTTAGGAGTTGCGGCGCTCAAAAAAGCAATGAGGGACAAGCACGAAAAAGGATGTAGAATAAAGGGTACAGGGTGCATAATTCAAAGTTCGTACCTCATTAAAGTAGCCAAGGCTCAAGATCGCTGCCCGCAGTCAAGCGACGGGATTAAACGGGCCGGGACGCGCATGGCCACTGCTCAAATTTGTAGCCACTAAACCCGCCGGTTTTATGAGGTAAAATTTACAGCGTTTTCACGCCAAAGTAACATAGTAGTAAGCGTTCGCTCGCGCATCTCCCCGTACACCTTGGCTACGCCGTCAAGTCATCCGCGAGGCAGCGCAGTCCGTCGTAGGAAGACAGAATGGCAGAAGGTTGGAAGGTAAGGAAAAGGGAACTAAAAAATATAACAAAAGTATACGTCGACCGTCGAACCTCGGTACGGCGCGGCTTCTACGAGCGATTTGATTTAGTGATCTTTTATTATCAATAATATTGATCGCCACTATCCTGTCCGGACCGTTGAGCGTTTATTACGCGTGCATTATGTCCGTTTGTTTGTTTCTTTCTTTATTTTGGGTAAAGTCACCAAACCGCGGGGCGTCTTCTCGCCTTTCTCAATTTCACTTTCGACTTTTTTTCGACTTACCTTCTCGCTTTTACTTTTATCTCCCTTTTACCTACTCAGTCACCCTTCTCGTATACCGGACGTTACACTCTGTTATTGTGTTCAAGGATATTTTTATGTAATTACCAATGACAGTCTTCGTTTCCACGTTCATGCTAGCTAATGCCATTAGTTAGTACGCTTTACGCTTTACGCTTTAGCTCGACACTTTACGCTGTGTTTGTAAATTGTATATCGGAGCCTTTCGTAAGGCCCCGCAAGGCCCACGGTAGACAGGTTAAACCATTCGATTAGCAACGCCGCGCGTCGTTGCATTCAATTGCATTAACCCTTTCAGCCTCAGTGACTTCAAAGAGAAATTTATTTTACTCGTTTCAACGATCTCGGTACTTTCTATTCGTATAAAAAATTATAATTGAAAAAATCAAAATTAACTTATCGATTGATATTGAGTTAAAAAATTGTATATTCACATAATTAAATTAATCATTTGTTCTCCTAGATTTTAAAACTGAACGGAATGGGTAATCAATTATTTTATAAATCTTCTGCTAGGAAAAACATGAAAAAAGGCTCCTAATACTGCTGTTACGAGTTTTGAAAAATGACTACCTTAGATTATCTATATATATATCTATATACCTATACATCTACCTATATCAATAACATATATATGCCACAAAAATTATGAAAGATAAAATAATACCTGCCATTATAAGAACATTACGTGAACTTTATTTCTTCCTAGTGTATTTTCTCTTATATGTATATATCTATATCTCTCTTGATTTTCTATCATCGTCCCACATGAACCAAGAGAACTCGTCCGACTCCTCCGCAGGTTAGGCCGACCCAAGAACCGCAGCCAATGCACGATATTATTTATTAATCTCACTCGAGTCGCAGTCATGCAAATCATTTCCTCGTCTCACAGAGCGAGTCACAGTAATGAGTGCACGTCGGACGAGATAAGCAAGTGGAAATGACGAGGACCCGTGTACAGTGAATAAATCATATGCAATGTAAGTACACGGTACAGATTTGTTTAACTCGCCATACATTATGTAAAATAATTATTGAGAAAAAAAACACCATATTTCTGTGAACGCAGCATTCTTTCGATAATCATAATATCACTTAGCAATATTAATATTTTTTTTTCAAATTTACATCTCGAACAAGTGTCGATATATCTATGGGCCATCTTCACTGCTCGTCCCATTAAAATCCATCGACCTACCGAATTTCCCCCATGGCGCGATCATTCGTCATGCTTAAGTACTAATGCAAGCATAACGTATTAATAAACCGGCCCGTTCGCCGGCAGCATAAATTCTACGAGTACCCCGGACGCGTATATCCACATATTTATGTTAATGTTCCTCTACGGAGAGAAAGGTGTAAGTTTTTCCATCCGCCGCCATACGGCGACCGCCACTGCCGCCTATCGGGAAAAGTTTGAATCTTTCGCTTTTAAATTAGCGCGCGCTTTTTTCAAGTTCGCGGGCGTCAATTTGAATGAAGCTTACTCGGAATAAATATTAAACGAATATCAAGAGCATCTTTTCGAATAATAATTAATAAATAAAAGCGTTGCAACAGAGTCAAAGGTCACTGGAATATGATCGTATAATTAAACGAAGGTAATTAGCTGATACGCAGCACGAATCCAATACGTTAATATAAGTAAGCCGATTAATAGTCGTATAATTTATGATTATCATTGTCGGTATTTATAGAGCAGGAGAAGAAGGCAACGGGAAATACGCGATACTGCCTGACCAATGGTACAGGCTGGTTATAGCAACCCTTGCCTCGTACAGAAGTGATAATTTCATGATTGAATATATCGAAGGGGCCTCATGCTGGGCCCAACTCGTCCGAGGCGTTCGGGCCCAACGTGGTATAGGCTACACGTATACCGTACAAGCCATAGTCGTAGTGGTAAAACATACATACATTATAACACCATTAAAATACCCTGAGCGAAACACCGTGCGACCTGGACCCTTATTTTACATACCAATACCAGCGCCCATCGGTGGGGCCCGTCGTTAAACGTTGTAATTTTACAGGATAGCATGGGCCTCATCGTGGAACACCCTCTCTCCATTATAATGCGCAAGACTCTCTCTCTCTCTGTCTGTTGGTCCTGGAAAAAAAAAGAACAAAGGAAAAATAACGAGCAACGTATATTTTGTAATATATAAAATTGTCAAGGCCCAAGGAAATAAGACACACGGGACCTGGTTGACATGGCCGATCACCCATTATAAAATGGGTCATACGAATCTTTGTATTATTCAAGAAAAAAATAAAAAATAAAAAAATAAGTACCCCCAGTCACGCGTCCAGCATCCCGAACTATACCGTGGATCGTCGTTCAATAATTCATTGGGTCCTTAACTGTAGGATCATTAGATTCTTTTTAGAATACAATATCTCATTCGTAATACCGAGCATTCCTCATATCGTACGAGGTGATAAGTATCTTCACGATATATCAACTAAACAAACAGTTTATACCTTATGGAAGGCCAGCGCGGAGCCCGCGCGAGAACTTCACGTCCCAATAGGGCCCCTATAAGCGAAGGCATGAGATTTGGGTAGTAGGGTCCAGCAAGAGAGACATCCATCCCTGCCGCAGGGGGTCCACGGAGTAATTGTCTGCCAGACACTGGCCACTCCGTAGCCAACGTACCTCTAGGTTAACGCCAAAACGTATTTGATCCGTGGTTCTCAATCAATGATCCCAGCCCATGTACGAGCGCCCGTTTGGATCTGGTTGAGAAAATAAAAAAGAAATTAAAGAAAGTATACTTTTGATCGATCAAATTATTTAAGAGTTACGTCATATAAATTATGATTGTATCCGATACGTACTTATGTACAGTGGCAATGGACCTATGGCTGTTTGGAAATTGGTTCTGTATCGTTGGTCGGTTCTTAGTTTGATTATGGATAGGATACATTTAAGGACTCTTTCGAACGGCTGGTTGGGCATAGATTTGAGCACCTTGGCGCGCGAGAGTGGAGCGATTACTTATACGATTTAATGCAGACAAATAATATTGTAAGGCGCTGCTAACACCAGGGAATATTACCATAAGACATGCGTTCGGTTAGATCCCAACACCGTAGCAATTCTCAACGGTGTATATATGTATATGGAAGTTATATTTATGCATTTATGTATTCACGCGTGTGCTATAAAGGGGGCCCCGTCGTGTGTTGGTATTTATGTATTTATGGTGTCCGTCCTGCCGTGGCCGAGCCTACTGGCCCACAATTAAGCCGCCATTATACGCCATAACCAATGCGTAAAAACTTATTACTCAAGATTTATGAAATCCGCTGGTATTAATGAGGGAGATTTTTATGGGCAACTTCGTTGGATTCCTACTTGGTTTCTCACTCGTGTCTCTTATGATACCTGGTATCACCGTGAAGTATCATTAAATCTATACATCCCTACGCGCAGCTCTCATATTTTCTACCGTCATTTAAAGTGTGTTTTAGTGTCATTACGAATCTGTGTTATCATAATTTAGTCTTTTATCAAAACCCACGCAGTGAAACTTCAAAATATATGTATATAAACTTAAGTAGCAAGATTGGCGTGAGATATAACAGGCGCCATTATTTAGTTTCAAAAATGACCACCAGAGCGCGACATCTTTATATGGTGTGTTCTAAAATGTATTAATATATGATATATATATGCAATACATATAAATTATATATCAGGTTATTCCACGGTCTTGCATACGGTTATTCAGACCAAATGCACCAGCTGAACATGGTTTTACCATAAGATTCAAATAGGCGCGCTAACTTCAGATGATGCGTCTCAACTGAATAACTCTGTATAATACATATATAATATATCTACGTATAGAAGAATAAAATCATAGAGCTCGTCGCAGCGCTGTCAGTAAATTTCGGAACATACCCATAGTAGAAGACTAATGGCTGCGCGCGCACGTAGATGTCACTTTGCGTCGGCAAATACAGGCAAATATTCCTTGCGTTTTCCACTCTCGAGTCCCAATGCGTATATGGATCGTAGATAAAGCCGCGTTCGTAATTAGTTAGAAATAAGGAATTTCACAGTGCAGTTCAAAGGAATCACGACAATTTCTATTAGACGACACTTAGGAAGCCGCAAATGCGATTTCCCTGTACCGAAGTGATCGCGATACTTAAGGTAAATTGATAATTCTACATATGGCCATTAAACGCCTGAGTAGTCACAGGTACAAGGAGCATACATAACCTCAGAGTAAGATTCTCTGAAATATAAGGAAACCTTAAGTATTCGCATAAATACCGTATCTCCCAGGTGCTAGATAGATATTATATTCGAAAAATCTATCATTTACATGGAACGTAGAGAACTGAAAATGGGCTTTGGAATGTTTCGTTCGCGAGTCGAGTGTCATCTCGAGTAATATCATAGCGTGGGAGCATCCACGTAAGAGGCACCGCGTGTTAATGCCTGGAATTATGTATGAGTTTCAATATCAGTGTTAATTACTTATAGCAATCCGATATCAGTGCGGGACTGGAGTGTAAATATAAAACTATAGAGAGCAATTTACAAGTGGCTGAGTACTTTTCAGAGCTTGACTATTTAACGATCGTGACCGTTTCGTTTACCCCGGGTAAAGCTTGCTGGTCGCGCTACGACGTTTTATCGTTGACAATAATTGTTTATCAGTGGCGTGTAATTTACGTCTGGGAACGTCGCCCCTGCCGATGTAATGAAGATTAACGTTATATGGAGCTGCGAATAGAAGAGTCAAGACGCCAAGTGAGTACAACCTTTCGCAGATGTATGCACACATATTACGCAGGAGAAATATCAATTTAATTTATTTATTTTTAGATTCACACTCTACTTAATCCGAGCGTTCACGTTATAAGACATTTATACCGACTGGCAATTGACCCTAGAATCATTTCTATCGTCACATTTCTCATAATTTAATCGAGCCACTTGGAATCTCGTCCACGAGTCATGTGCATTACGGGTTAACCGATTTATACCGAGTGTCGATCTTCATTAAGGCAGCCACCTCGTATAAATTTAGTTCCCTATCAACAAACAATAATCCAGCAATAATAATACATCACGCAGCAGGTATGCAGTTTGCGTGTATCGCGAGAGCTCGAGCCAGGAGAAGAATGGATGTATAGTTTACCTTGTCGCCATGATGCACTAGCCAGCCGTCTTTAATAACGGCATTAAATAATTGACAGGTTCAAATTAACCTCAAAAAGTTATACCAAATGTACGTTTCCAAGCAATGGAGGTGTTAACTCATTTAGCATAGTACATGCATTCAAATTTGTACGTTGTCATATGATACGCAATACACCCGGTATATTAATCCAGTACCCAGATCGGAGATTCCCGTCGCGGAGTTAAGAAATGTTAAATGCAAGTGACACGCGAGTAGATCTTCGATAAGTTAAACTCACGCAAGATCTAGAGAAGGATCCAGGTAAATGAAGTAAGATGCATACACATGGACTCCTTGAATTTTCAGCTAGGATACCGACGGTGCAGGGAGAACGGCTGGAGTGGGGAATGTCTACAAAGTGTTGCCAACTAAGGAGAAATAAATTGTACGTTGTAATACGTGTATATCAGTTATACAGAGCCCTTGGTATTGGATACAAGCAATGAGTCTGGATGGTTGGACGGTTGGCTGCCTTGTTGGTTGGCAGGCAGGCAGGCAAGTTACATCCATAAAATTAAAACCGGCCGACACAATACTTGCATCTCAATCACACGCTGGCGCAAATTGCACCGTACAATCTTTCCGCGTCCCTCTTTACCATATAGTTACTTTTCTCTTCCTGATCGTGTGGTACCACTGCCAGCATTTACTCCCTAGTTACCTCTTTCGAGCTTTTAGTCTCGATCATTAATAATGGATGTTTGACATTATATATATGACTATATACAGGGTGTCCCAGAACTACTTTTGGACCGGAAAGTGCGCGATGGCTGGAGGTGCCTTGAGTACCCTCTCGCAAACCATTTGCCAAAATTCGCAATAGTTTTTAAATGAGAAGCATTTAAGTGGGACCAATCAGAACGAAGGATTTCCGCGGGTAATAGCAGCGTGGTGGGAAGTACACTCACGGATGCCAAAGATAGCTGCTGTGCAATAGCTTCCCACAAATTCCGCGCTTAGCAATTGTTTCACAGGCCGAGTTGCACGTGTAGCTGCTACTCCAGTCTAAGCTAAGACACGCCCATGCCCATATCGGTAGTTTGTCAACGAATCCTAATGATGCCCGCTCAGCTTGTGAAACATTTGTTAAGCGCGGAATTTGTGGGAAGCTATTCCAAAGCAGCTATTTTTGGCATCCGTGAGTGTACCTCCCGCCACGCTGCTGTAACCTGCGGAAATCCTTTGTTTTTATTGGTGCCACTTAAATGCTTCTCATTTAAAAACTATTGCGAATTTTGGCAAATGGTTTGCGAGAGGGTACTCAAGGCACCTCCAGCCATCGCGCACTTTCCGGTCCAAAAGTAGTTCTGGGACACCCTGTATATATACGCTATGGTAAATTATATCACACGATACGGGACTCTACAACGTATGCTGTTAATTTTCATTGTTATCGAAGGCTCTCTCAAGGATCGCCAGGACATTGGACACCCTGTATAGAATAGATTTAGAAATGACAATGGGGAATTCTTTTGCTAAGTCTTGTACTTAGAGTCGAAGAGTAGCCATTCAGTAAGGGTGTCCGTAGACTCACCCTGTAATTGTACGTTTGTCGTTTTAGTTTTATTTTCGTTAAGTTGGCCCTTGGTTTTTCATATGATTTTTATTCTGCCATTAACTCGTGGAACGGAGGGGCCGAGAGGGGGGTTGAACCTCGTGGCGAATCAATACGCCAATCAGCGCAGCCTCTCGGGTGATGAACGATGATGAGAAGCGTGCGTGTACGCGTTGTAATTGAGAACATAAATAATCGGGATGATAGAGATGAACGAGAGTGGCAATTTAATAGGGATACGTTGCTGAGAGAGAGAGATGAATTTCTTTACGTTCGCATTCACTGCGCGATAAACGATTATTAACGGGTAGTTTGAGGTTAGGTGTACGCAGAGTCGTCCTGCTGGTAGTGTCCCCTGGGAATTGGTAAGAACTCCCGGGGATGGTGGAATCATAAATCAGAAGATCGGTAGGGTGTAGATCGGGAAACAATGGCTGAAGATTAGTGGACCGATGATTATCCTTAAGGTCTGACCGCGCGGCTCGTGTGAACGAAGCTTAAACGGTACCGGTCGCTAGGCCCGGGATTAGCTGCTAATTGTTGTTAAGGAATTGGATTAGGCGGTTTGCTACGGGAGGATTTCGCGTTAGCCAATTTAACGGAGTTTCTCCTAGCCAGACGTGATTTCAGCAGGGCCATAAGATGCAGACGAAGAATACTCAAACCATCCTAAAGTCCCTGCCAACAATACGGAATCTTGTCGTACAGGGTAGCGGGGTCAATCTTGTTAACCCAATGACGAAGAGGATCTCCCGCTTGGCTGCAGAAGCTAAAAGTTGAAATTCCTTTTGGGATGCTGGAAAAATGGCCGTGGGTGGTCAAAGTTCAGGATTTTCTAAAAGTTTGCACCGATGGAATCCCTTGGATTATTTTTTCAGCGAAAACTTTTACGGTATGACAAATACGATCGTGTGGATCGAACACGTGTAAGAACTCGAGACCTTCGATGCGACTGCAGCGCATACCTTGAGCTTCTTTTTTTACGGCGTGAAAAGGAACTAATATCAATGGACGTTCATACTTATTATTAGAGGTACCAGTCGACTCGGAGTGAATTGTCAATTTTCTCAAGTTTACCTGATACTTTAATCCCGTACTAAGCACTGGGAAGGACAGTTCGTACTTACACGAGAACGGATTGGCTGGAAGTCCGCAGGAGCGACAGTCGCTGCTTTGCGATCGGCAGCTTAACCGCAATTAACTTTGCATCAATTTCATTGTGTCAGTTCGTTATCTGTTTATACTAAACCGGTTTAAGCGACGAGCTGATCACTGGGTCAACCAGCAACTAATTGGACTGGTTAGGATTAGTCGGTTCGGTTGCCGGTACACACGAAACAGGACACTCTAAATATTTGGCTTTCCTGCTGCTTGTAAACCAATAATCGCTTGACCTACAGGGCGAACAAAGGAAATACCGTTTCGAGTTAAAGAATTTTCTAACAGTCGTATTTTCTTTGTTTATACAGAAGCCAGGCTCCAATTACCGGAAGCAACCACCGACCGTCCAACACGTAGTACGTACTGCCAAGGCGTCTCGACGCTCCTTCAAAATTATTCGGCAACGACGTCTCCGGGCGAGAAGACTTCCCGACGCTCTCTGTCCATCGGGCAACGAGTCAATTAGCTGCTGACCAAACGGCTCTGGCTAATCACTGCCTTGAATGAATCTGTGGTCCGGGACCTCTGGGCAGGGTAGGCGGGGAACAGGGGGGGAGACGTGGATACGGACAAGGAGTAAGGAGGTGGATATGTAAAAAAAAAGTGAAAGAAAAACACTCTGCCTAAATTACGGGCAGACCAATTATATTGCGTTTAAAATTAATTACTAGATTAACCGAAGATAAATCGATGCCTTGACGGCCGAGTAAGTGAGTGATGAGGGATGGGGACTCGCTCGGAAACAAAAGAGTCAGCTTGTCGGTTATCTCGAGAGAGTATCGGTGAGCTGTCGATCGTCAATTATTCTTTCAAATTAATCCGGGGCCCTGACGTCGGGGCCCACCTATTATAACCAATGACTCGTTTCTCCACCTTTTACTGCGGAAACTGCATTTTAAAGAGGACACCGAGAGCGCGCTTTCAATTTTTACGCCAAATTATCCGACAGATGGCGCTGGGTGTTTGGGCGATTTTTATCTTATCCCATGACATATATTCACTGATGCACTTTTCAGGTGAAACTTTTTTTTTTTTTTAATGGGAATATCGTTAGTTGCAAATTTTAATGGTGATATATTTAATTTGCTTGGCGCGACAAGCAGGCGGTGTTCGAGTAAAGCTGTAAAACTTTGCTGTATTAAATTTATCTTGTGTAAATAGCTACCGGCATTTGTATTCCGTAATGGTTCCATAACGCTATCTCTGTTGAGGTTGCAGGCCGTTTCAATTCTGGGTAAGCGATCATCTACATGACCACAATGTTAATTCGACTATGTAGCTAGTTCGTTGCTGTAAAAACAGTTATTTACTTATGTGCGTGAGGTATATGCTTAAGGGTCTTTTAAAGTCGTTTACGTAACGGCGATAGTTCATGGTTCTAAGAGGCCAGTCTTCGTTTGGCTGTCCTCTTAAATATTTTTTTTTTTTTTCCGGGTAAACACAAGTGTCAGGATTTTTCTTTAATGGTCGCCCTGCAATTAAATCAGGACGATTTGTAATTCGATTCGATCCAGCTGGCCACTGCTCGGGATCCTTGGGTATTTTGAGGCAAAAAACAGAGACCCAAGAATTCTACGTGTTCTTACGAACCGTCCGACTCGGTCTTGGTGCTATGATGTTTGTCTTGTTACTTTTTTTAACTTTTTATTTATCTTTTCTTCTAGCCCCCTGCCACGAGAATTCCGCGCGTCTCTGCGATCTTTTGTCCCGGGAGCGTCGTTCGCGCATTAAAAATGTATCAATCTCGCAGGGCTTCTTCGCTCGTTCCGTGAGAGGGTCCTGCGAGTCGGAATGTCCTTTAGGCGTCGTAAAGAATAACAGTCCTATGACAGTGGAATCGAGAAATGAGGAACGATTGGAATTTCGTTTTTCATCGGTGAGACTGCAGATCGAGACGAAGGAACGTTCGAAAAATTCGAGAATCACGTTTGGCGACTGTAAGTCGGGTAATGAGTCATATTTCTCGGTATAGAAAAAATGTTTTTTTTTTTAACGACTTCTTTTAATCGTTTTCAAAAACTTGCAGAACGCTGAAAGAAGTAAACGTTGATCCTCAGAGCTGTGGACAGCGTGTACGGTGCCCATTGAAAGTTCAGCATCCTGAAGAAATCCGAATATGGACGTCGTGAGCCCAAAGTGGATGTGTCCAGAGACCCGTTGGGACCCCCGAAACGAGGAGCAAACATCACTAAAGTGTCAGCAGCATCACAATTCGTAGGGGTCCGCTTGTTAGCGGCCCCAGGGCCGGCAAAAAGAGGCGCGCGAGTGCGAATGCACGAGCAAAAAGCCGGTTCCACGCGTAGAAACAGGAGCAAAGAAAAAGATGCCCGGCTGGTGCTGCGACGGTGGGTGCGATCAGTGGGTCCCCTCGCTATGAACAAAAGAGCGCAAGGGGGACCCAACTAAGTCCGTGGACCCCTCTCTCTCTCCTGCCGAGTCACCAATGTTGGCAATGCTCTTTGGCAGACGCCGACTCGCCTCGGTTATCCCGATTCGCTCGATGTTTCGATACAAATTACACGAAGGACATGGACACGGAACCCGAAGACGCCTCGAGTTCCAGTTCCAGTTCGTCAGGATCAAGAAGACAGGAAGACTGATGTTATCATCAGCTAGTGCTGCTCTCATTTTTTTTTTTTTTTCTTTCATTTCCGTAATACATTCATTTCTTACGGTCGCACTGGGACTTTGTACGGTGCATTATTTTTGCATACACGCATATCGTACCCTGTTACGCAATCTAGTTCTACGCTTTTATCTCGTCAGATTGGCAGGCATTAATTAGTATCTCTTTAATCAGACTGACGCTAATGCTATCCTAGGTGAATGGACTGGAGCACCAAGTGCCATAATACAAAACTGCATAATAATCTGAGGCTGGTCAGGGACTCTGTATGCATATGTTGTTCCTTGCTCTTGCCGTATTAACAGCCATCACTAATACCTACCGTAGGACTCTAACTTGCAACTTAGTTAAACCGGCACTCGGGCTGTCTCCTTATGGTAATTCAGTAACCACTTAATCAGTTGTTGCTTTCCCTGGGCTACATATGTTACTGTACGTATGCACCTACGCCTAACGGTCTCTACTATACGGAACCGGCAAATTGGATGTGGACCTTTAATAGATTGTAAAGGCGTATCGCTGTCTTTTTCTTTTTTCGTTCTCAAGTCGCCGGATCACTCACTCGTTAGGCGGCAAGAGTGGAACGCCTTGACGAGGGCCACGACGACGTGCCAGTGGAAATTGACTTTAACGAGAATCCGCGGATACCAGGCAGAGAGTAAATTCTTGTATCTCTTTTTTTTTTAATTCGAAGCCTCCATCGCCTCGTTCGCTCATTTCATGATGGAAGGGTGGCGAGAGGTGGGTAAGTGGACAAAAAAATGTTGATGTACTAATTATAATTCTTTAGGTGTAGATATCACGTGAAAAATTGAAGACGAATAGAAAAATCGGATGTGGTCACAAGATGCAGGTACATAGGGCGATAAGGTCCTCGGCACAGGGTACGATGATACGGTGGCTTGGAAGTTCAAGAAATGGACAATTCTGTTTTACTAAATAAAACGTATGGTCTTTATACGTATTCATGTATAGATATACCTGGCTATATCCCTACGTCGGAATTAAGCGAACCAAACAGATTGGCTCGGAGAAGAGGTAATAGAGGCTAAACGGTGGCGGCACCTTGATATGCAAACTGAGGAATTTCTGCGCACGGGGACGATTCAGGTATGTGCCGCGCGAGCTATTCCCGTAATAGCGTCCGTTTACATTGGCTTTTAACGTCTGCGAATCGAGCAGCATTTGTCCTCGGTCTCTTTTGGTGGGAAACGATCGTTTCAATACGATCAAAGAGATTCAGGATTTCGTACTATTGCATAACTGTACTTGGGGTTTATAATTTTTGTGAATTTCGCACAGTGTGTATTCTCGTTCTAGGCAAGATTCTATGTCTTATTTTCTTTATTCAGATGGTCATTGAGAATGGCCGTTTGGTACAGCGCAGCTTCCCACTTTGTAAATCGACGCGATCCCTAATTGTCTCGTTGGTCCATGGGGCAAAAAAGTGCAGCGCTCGCACAAGAAAAAGGAAAGGAACCCAGCGGAACCTGCGGGACTTTCGGAGCTCGCGGAATGCCGTGCCGGAACGCATTCAAATCGCCGCCGCTTCGTTTTGCGTCCGTGGATTGACGTTGAGGGATGACACGTTCCTGAGGAGAAGGCATCAAGGGCCTCGGGCCTGTCGTATCGTGAGAGCCTTCCACTCCGGACGCGGAATCGGCATTGGCCGTTCTACGGCCAGTCCGCTGTATGGCAACGAGAGAAATGAGCTTGGATGGAACCGAGAATTTTTGCCGGGCTGCCTTTTCGCCGCTTTCGTGAATCGCTTGACGATCGTGCCGAGAATTGCATCGTTGGGATGCAAGAGGGTGAATGCATTTTGTGCAGTGCAATCGGAGCAATGTTTATTCCGATGAAAATATATTATTTACAGTTGCATAGATTTTTTTTAATCAAATTATACAGCATTAGGTGAGACTTTGTTTACGTGATTTTTGAAATCTTGAAGAATGAAAATTTTATTATGGCTGCCCGTAACTTAGGAAAATTCAAAAAGGAGTGACTTTTTAGGAGAATTTTTGGATATTCTTTCTTAAATGCCATTTTGGAGCAATCGGAAAAAAAAAAGAAAAGGAACGGAACTCGTACGTGTCAGAGAGTGATGGAAGAGCGCAACTTATGCATACCGTGTAAGTGACACGCATGAATAATTCATTCTAATAAAATAATGCAGCCCCTGGACTCTCTTGGTTTCTAAGCAAAAAACCATCGGAATGGCCGATCGCACCGAACCTAGCGACACTTCGTTTTTTTTTGTCCTTTTATCTTATTTCTTTCATTTCTTACGCGCGGAGAAACTGCCGCACTTTTTTCGTAGGGCCTATTCGAAACCATTTTAAATCATTGTGAATCCTTCGGGTTGGTACTGACGTTATTTAACGTAGTATTATTTTACATCGCTGTATCTATTTATACTCAATATTTTTTACAACGAGCGAACGTTATCGACCGTCTACTCTGTCGCAACTGCAATCGTTTCACTTATTACGTAATAGCAAAGAAATGTTTACCAGGATATAAGATTTCAGAAAAATTCATAATTCAAAACGGCTTTACGTCATTCAGGATCAAATACTTTATGTTCCGTTGTAATTTTATCGCATACTTTTTTTTAATATACCTGTTATAGTTATGAAAACTGTTCATTTCGTTTATTTAGAAAATTTTCAAAAATTGTCAATATTTTGCAAATTAATCATATACGTCGATCGGTCATAGATTATTTCGGAGCATACAAAGAAAAATCTTATTTAAAATTATAAATATCACAATTACAGTCGATAAGTAATAAACAGTAGGTAACTATGGCTTGTCAAAAAAAAAATGTGACCATTTTATCGAAATATTATATTTAGCCGATAAAATTTTAGACGTTCTCTCGTTTGTCTTGTTCCCATTGGGACTATACGAAAACCCATGAAATTGTCTTCCCCATCGCATGTAATTTCCATGTTAAAGCACTCGCAACCCATAAGAAGTATTCTTGTATTGGATCAGTCCCGATAAATCCACTTCTTACATTGCTATAAACATATGATGCATCCTATACCCATAAATTCCACATATGGTAATCCACTGTACACGCTTCGCGCGTGTATAAGCCACGTTTCGCATTCTAAGTATTATTTCATCTTCCTTCTCCTGGATCTCAGAAAGTCCCGAGGCGCGAGAATAATCAATTTTCACAAAAATTCACAAAAATGAAACTTCTATTTACCAAGTAATTTTAATATTACCCGACAAAAGCACCTTCGACAACCATAAAATCTAATCTTACCTCAAATCTCGGGTATGCACGTGGCAGCGTACCTTAAGCGCGAAGAAAAAGCATATCAGTAATAAAATAAATCTACACGTAATAACTTATCAGGGGACGAGTACTCGATGATGAGAAACAATGGGCGCAATAACCACCCGACGTAAAGATAGAAAATAAAATTCTACGAAAGGAGCAAAATTTCTATTTTTTATATTCAATTCCAATAGCGCTCGCTCTCACGGTAAATATTTTTATTTTCAGCCACGCCGTCCGACGGGGGCGAAAAAAAAATGTGAAAAAATGGCAGAAAAAACAAGCAGCAAAACGCAGTTCCAGTAAAAGCAGTAGCGACTTCAGGGTGGGTGTCTATTGAATGGTAGGCGACAAGGGGGTGTGCAGGAGAAAGAGACAGGGGTGGGAGTAGAGGGTGGGGGAAGGTTGTCCTCCTGCAGAATTAAAGTCAGCCAGGAAAATAGAATCCCCTCCCCCCTCCTTGCACGTCATCCCCCAACTACCAATCTAAATCGCGCTTTCAATTCCCGCGCGGAAAAACAAACGTGAAAATCGAATGAGGTGGCGAAAAGATGCCCGTCGTGGGAGACATTCAATCGTTTGACCGCAATGCCTTTTGCCAGGAAGGCGGGGGCGTCCTTCCATATACCGAGGACAAGAACGGGCGTCCTCTTAATCGGGTAGCCCCGGGCGCTCTTGAGATTTATGGATTCCCCGGGAATCGGCGCCCGCGAAATTGTCTTGTTTATTGGCTGTTGGCTTTAGGTTTACGATTTCCAACGATTCCGGCACTGACCGTCCCTCTCTTATCCACGAAATACTTCGGGACTCGCGAATTCCCCCCTCGATTTTAATTCAACCTTCGGGAACCTCCCTTCTCTTGTAACCGTGTGCGGAACGCACCTACCGACATCCACAGCACGAAAGAACCTTCCTCACCTTTGGCTACGTTCGTGACCCTCGACCTCTCTCGGGACGAGTTTCTTCGACGAAATGGTCATAGGGGTTGTTGTTGTGGATTACGATGACGTCTACGTTGACAGAGGATTTTTTTATCACTTGGCCCTTTTTAAGTAGTTTCAGTGGTGGGAGGTTATTTTTATTTTATTTTATTTTTTTCATCGATTCAATGAAAATTCCGATGAAAATTCATCTTCATCAACGTACATTCCCGTATTCGTCGAAATTCCTTGAAACGAGAAACTTCAGGATGAATTTAAAATAATTGAATGGGGATGAAAAATTGTCAAACAGTCGCACCGGGCTGAAAAAATAAATCGAAGGTAAGATTGGCAGGGGTAGGTACCGTCCGTCTTATCTGGTTCTGTCGAACGTCAAGATGACCATAAAATATCGTGACATGACACGTGGACCGGTAGCGGCTATACCGATAGAGATCTGTTTCGCAGATATTCTCATGAGGATATTCTCAATTCGCGCGAGTAGTCACGGGTGACGAGATACGTCGGCAAAGAGGAACCAAGAATGGCAAAGGCCAAACATTATAATAAATCAGAGGTCCTCTGACGTGAATGTAAAATTGCCGGAACCGATCTGCTCGTGTATAACACGAGGGTAGTAAGGCCATAGGAAGGGATAGGAGGACGTGCCGTATAGGAAAGGGGATGCCGAAGGTACGGGACCCTATAGGACATATAATACATCTAGAACTGGTTACAGGAGGTTATGTGAGGTTATAACTATAGGAGGGTGGCAGCATGACCATGGACCATGAAGAGATAGTCCATTGTCAGAGTTATTTGTCATGCTGCCTACGAATCTATGGGGTTTTGAATCATCGTGGGGCAAACGATATAGAGTTGAGCCCCGTTACCCCGGACAAGCCTATTGGGACATTATCGATGGTTATGGCGTGTAGCAAGCGCCATATGTAAAGAAAAGAAAAGGGAGGAGAATGATGCCACTATTGCTACTATTCTTATTACTGCCACTGCTTACCGACTGAGCTTCTCTCTGCCTGCCTACCATACCGACAGTCACGGCTGTTCGCTACCATTCGGTACAGTCGCCCTAGGAAATTTACGAGATTACGAGGCACGTTGCTGAAAATTTTTCTCTTTTTATTTCCCCTAATAAATTCTCAAAATCAAAATATATTTTGATTGCCTTTACGAACTGTTCATTGGTAGAATTCAATTGATATATATGCCAGTCTCGTTTTTGTAGCATATTGCAATGTAAATTTAATAATTGAATTACAAGCCCATTTCTCTATATATCTTGTTACACCTGTACCCTATTATACCTACGTTCACATTGAGTCACTATAGTCTAGCCGCCCAATTCCATTTCGACAGGGGATTCAATTCCGGGCTTTGCTACCTTCTTCCCCTCGAGCCCTCAACCCTGCAAAACCAGGGGAGCCAATAATCAATCGGTATGTTTGTTTTAAGTTTCGTCGAAGCGAGATTTTGTTTGTTATTTTTCACGCGCGTCGGATCAGCCGTGCTTCGGTTTGTACAATTTTTTAATCCTTGTTTCTGTCTTTGCTCCACTCGCTGTAGGTAAGCAAATAAATGTACAAAATTGAAATAGCTTCGGTGGGAATCGTTTTTCGCTAACAAAATAATCCCATTGGTTTCATGTATTGAAGTTTTCGAAAATATTCAACACACTCTTCGTCTCTGTTACTTTTGATTGGCTATGTACTCGCGTGGGCCATGTCTTCATTGTCGCCAAGATCCGACGGGACAAATTGGACCGGGAGTCCAATTTACATGAAATCCTAATAAATACTTTGGATTCCCCGGTGATTTAATTTGCTGGTACAAACGCGGTTTGCTGATATCCATATAGATGGCGTGAAAATATTCGGGGTCAGTGACGACAAGCCGGCTTTCATCAGCATTTAAATTGATGGCAGTTTAGGTTAACTTAATGGAAACACACGGTACCGGATATCCCGGCATCTTTTTCTTTTACGTCTTTTAATACTTCCCCTGATTATCTCTCCTGGGTCACTTCCGGTTTGTCAGTAGATACACGCTTCTTCGTATACTCGAGGATCTTTACGCTTTAATTGAAAGCGACGGTATCATTTGTTTGATATGAAGTTGCAAAATGGCGGATGTGATCACTAGTCGTTACAAGGATCCTGGAGCGTAGGTGAGAATGCGCCTAAGTGTTTAATTATTTTTAAGAGAAGAAGCGCCCTCTCTTATTAGAAGGATTTGTCGCCGGAGGCGTCGGGACGCCTCGTTAAAATTCTCCGAAGTGCATATACTTAAGTGCTCGTTTTATTTCGGTTTTAGAGGCTCTCGCGTACCTATTCCACGCGCCTATAAAACTGACGCCTCAATTCCGTGAGGTTTTTTTTTAATTCTTGTGCAATTTCATGAAATTATTCCCCTTGTATTTAAATAAGAGTAGATACGAAGCTAAAATATCCTACGAATGAAATAGTCCTGTATATACATATACCGTAACCCTGAAAATCGAATATATAGGAATCCGTCAATTTACCATATGATCAGAAAAAAATGACTGGAATCAATTAATAAAAAAATTTTTGCACTTCGAAACGCTAATTTTTAATGACCGATATTTTCTAATTTCACGGAAACGCATGAATATTACACCTTGCGTTACACGTTCTCGATCGACGAATAGAATATATCATTCGTATTGTTATTATTATATTTATATACCGTGACTGAAATTATTATGTTTATTCATCATTATATATTTGTGATAACATCAAAAAATTTCTCACTAATAAATTGGACGATACAGACGGTGTTTTGAAAATTTCCAAATTTTCTTTCTCACCCAGCAAATTCAACCCTCGCAAGGACATAAGTAGTACGATCATCTCGATTGTAAAAGAGCAAAAAGAAAATGGCCGTTATTTTACGAAGGTTTATCCAAGGGTCGTGGCGGCCGAGATTCGAGGACCCCGTCATGGCGGCGTTTCGAAAAACGGGGGTGTGCCGGTGTGCGTTAGGGAGGACGATGGTTTCATAAGTTATTGATTGGAGGAAAAGGTGGGGTTGAAACGGTTGCCATGACGACTGAACCTGCGCGCTGCGAAGGGACGTTTACCTTAATGCTCAGGAATTACGGGACGTGATTTCACCCTCGTCATGGAGTACGCTTTAGTGATAATGTAATTTTATCTCGCGAATCGTCGTCATCCCCATTTCCCTCCTACTCGCCCCCATCAAAACCCGACTAATTCATAGACTATAAGAAAGTTTAAGCGACACCAAGACCCTCCCGTGGGCTAGCAACACGTATTTCATCCCCTAACAAAAAGTATACGCCGTCTTCGAAACCCTTTAAATTAATGATTCACGTCCGCAGATTAATCCCTCACGCAGAATCCACAAACAGATCCTCCAGTTCGCTCCTGAAAATTCGGAAGGGGATGATATCGCTGAAGCGACGGATAATCCATGAAATAAGTCTTCGTTGCGCAACGAAGGGCTGGTTCGAGGGTAGAGGTAAGGTACGTATCCATCCCTTCTAAAAAAAAAAAAAACTTCGAATTTAACAAACGCGAAATAAACTTTGTCGAAATGTGATCCTTTGGCAAATCTTCCCTTGGCACGTTCAACCCCTAACATTATTCGAGGCTCTCCAGTACCCGCCACCCTCGGGGGCTGTGCCAAGCCATGGCTACATTAGCTAACTGCGCCCTGATTCGTCCTATCGATCCACCCCTGGAGCAAGAAAACTTCATCGACATTAGGCCGGCAAGCAGCTTTCATCCAGCGAGCATCCCTTACTGGTAATTGCGAAGTTCTTCATCTCCCTTCTGGGAAAAACAAATCCCAGATAAGTCAATGATAAAAAAATATTCCTATCCTACATACGTATCAAGATACTTCTGAAAATTATTTTTTTTGGTAAATTAAAAAATAATTCATTTTTTTTTATCATTTTATTTTTTGACACCACGTAAAGTCATCGAAAAGATCATTTTGCTCCGCGATATATTTTACTTCATGGAAATTTAGATACAATTTTTATATACGTATATTTACTTACTACCTACGGCACGTTCTTGTGCTTGGTAGGAAGTGGAAGCGAGCTTTTCATAATAATATGTAAATCGGTGGATTACCAGGCGCCGTAAATTGGAAATTCAGCAGAGCGCCCAGTACCGACTCCATTGCTACCACTTCTCGGCGCGTTCACGTTCCTATAGCGTCGCGACGCCAAAGTGGGAAACTCCAAAGCGGAGCGTAGAACGGTATCCCAAGTGGGGGGGAGAAAATACAGGGTGAAAGAGGGTAAAACGTTAGAGCCCTACCCATCCAGTTACGAGCCACCCCTGCTAACCATGAGCACCATGCTGGATCATCCCTCGAGGCTCGTTATAAGCATTAGCTAAACGGCGACGCTGATTGGCTCGTGAGAGGGAACGATTTTCGGATATGAGATGACAATGCCACCGAGATCGTTAATACTCGAGTTGAATGTAGGACGGTAGATTTTATGTGACGTCATAAAAGTATCGATCCTTCTCGATCTCATTTATTCACTCATAGCCAACTTCGCTATGCGTCGTTCTGAATTTATTCTCAGATTTAGGTTACGAGGTTATGGATCGGTTTCCCATTTACATTTAATTATCATTGAGACAAGATCATGAGGAACGATGTTAATTCCGACCTTGTCACGTTGGACGACATACTCCTGTATCTTGGTAAATTTCTTCATTCGGATATCCATTTTCTAGATAAATTTTATTTTCACGTCCGGATGAACTTTTTCAAAAAAATAGGAGAATTCGGCATCTATCAAAAGGCTCTCTTCGTGATGCTGATGCCGTTTTGCTTCTTTTTGACTTTCGTCTACTTCACCCAAATCTTCCTCACCCTGGTCCCGGTCGAGCACTGGTGCACGCTGCCCGAAGGAACCGGAATCTCTATAGAGCGTCTGCGGGACATCGCAATACCAAAAGCGGATCAGGTGCCTTTCGAGAGTGGTGACGTTTCCTATTCAAGATGCTGGATCTATGACGTACCCATAGATCAGATAGTGAATGCCAGTCGGTCCAATAAAGAGTGGCCGATCAAGAAGTGTCACAGTTGGGATTATAATTTTACAAGGGACATGCCATACTCTACCATAGCTACGGAACAAGGCTGGGTTTGTGAAATTATGTTTTAATATAATAAAAGGTATTAATAATCAATATATGTTTTAGGTCTGCGATCAAGCTTATCTGGTAAATTTGGCTCAGAGTATTTTTTTCATTGGCTCAATATGTGGCGGATTTTTATTTGGCTGGCTGGCCGATAAGAAAGGTCGCATTCCAGTTCTCGTATGTACGAACGTAATGGGTCTGATCGGTGGTCTCGCGACTACATTCAGCACGGCGTTTTGGCAATTTAGTCTTTGTAGATTTATCGTAGGCTTCGCTTATGACAATACCTTTGTGATTATGTATATACTCGTGCTCGAGTACATCGGTCCTAAATGTCGGACTTTCGTAGGGAACATGTCATACGGTGTATTTTATACTATGGGTTGTATGTGTTTACCTTGGATAGCTTATTACGTTGCCAATTGGAAGACATTAGCCGTGGTTACGTCAGTGCCAATGTGCTTTGTGATTCTGACGCCTTGGATCGTACCGGAAAGTGTGAGGTACAGTCTGACAAAAAAATTGAGAAATCGCGTTGCGAGCATCGTTTGCTCATTTATTTTCAGATGGCTGATCAGCAAGGGTAAAATTGAAAAAGCTGTGCGAATAATACGGAGCATTGAGAGGATCAATAAAACCGACGTGCCGCAAGATATTTACGAAAAGTTTATAGACGACTGCATGGACTCTCCTGAAAGTTCATCCGAAGAGGATTACAATATATTTGTTTTATTTAAGACTCCCAGACTCAGGTATTCATATATTACATAATGTCGATTCGTGATTAATGGCTGGGGGACTTTGTTACCGTGAAATTCATAAGAAGATGGCACTTCGAAAAATCTTTTGTTTCGACTCTACCTGATCGATCAGCTGATTTTTCTATTCCCCTTTCTTTTTCTAGGACCTTTACCGTACTTCTAATCATAGGATGGAGTATCATAGCAATGGTTTATGACTGTCACATACGTTGCTTAGAAAATCTTGGTCATGACGTCTTCACGTCATTTACCATTGGAGCATCCACCGAATTGCCGGCTGAGGTCCTCATTACAATTACTCTCGATGTCTGTGGTCGAAGATGGATGCTTATCGGCGCCATTTTCTTATCCGGATTAGCCTGCTTCTGCGCATGCGTTGCGCCTATTGGAATGTACTATGCGACTTTTGCTATAATTGGAAGATTTTTTTTGAATATTGCATCAAACATCGCACTTCAATATGCCTCCGAATTGCTGCCTACAGTAGTGAGGGCGGAGGGTGTAGCGTTTATTCACAATATGGGTTACGCGGCATCCATGTTGAGTCCATTCGTGGCTTATACCAGTAAAATTCAATATAACATACCAATGATGATTATGGGTAGTGTCTGCATGGTCGCTGGAGTTCTTAGTATTTTTTTGCCGGAAACTCTAAAAGAGCACCTACCTCAGACTCTGCTGGTAAGTCGAGCGGTCACTTTGCGCGTGATAGTTTTTTAATTTATTATTATTTTCAGGACGGTGAATTATTTGGAATTAATCAGAAAATCACTGATTGCCCAATCAAGAGGAAGAATTTTCATACGGTTCTAAATAGACATTATCTTCATGCCAATAGACCAGTTTCACGCGGCGATGTTCTTCGTAGCAGTATGGTTTCCGGTTATACCGGAAATGAAACCCGGCTCAAGGCTCGCAGACAGATAATCAGTGATATCGATACTCGAGAGTCAAGAACGAGCTCGGCTGAGACTCCTGAGGAATACGTGAGTATACTGAGAAAACGTAATGAGGAAATGCAAAGTTCTCAACCGGAAGTAGCTAACAGAAGACAAAAATTGGAAAGAGGATGAGAACGGTAAGCCGGGTTGAATATGGAAAGCTCGACTAACGAAGCTGACACGACGGAATAGGAAATCTAGTTGAAGTCAGGATATTTTGAAGGCTCTGATGATATCGACGCTCAAAGATAATGTAAATAGAAAGCGATGAGTGAGTTTCGATAAAATATTTTTAATCAAAGATTTGAGGGTTTCATTGGATTTTTATAAAAGTCCACGTATTTCTCTTAGTAAAAGCACGAGGTCCAATGCTTGGAAGTGAAAGGTTATTTTGATAGCGAAAAGTCTAAACATACCGATGGTCGGGTCTTAGAGGGTCCCAAAAGGCGATCCTAAAGTATCTGGTTAATTACTAGAATTAGTGACAACAGACCCTTGGAGGACCCGACATGTGGTTTCGTTTAGGTCGAACTTGTCCGCGCAGCAGTACTCGTATTTCGCATTTTTCTACGAAAACACATAAAACCGAAACTGGTACGGTTTTTCGAGTCGGGACACGTAGGCGTGGTCCCTTCGTGCTGGGTGGTTATGAGAATGAGAAATTGCGTGGACTTTGAAAATTAGCAGACTCGATTTCACTCGACTCTCCTTACAAGAACGAGTTTCAAATAAGTTTCGGACGTGCGATTCGCTCATTGCCGTACATAATAAATTGCACAAGAGCAGATAAACACGAACTGAAGAAGTAGAAGGTCTGTAAGCAAATAAAAAGTTAATGAGAATAAAAGTCCAAAAGACAAAACAAGAATAAACGGCGAAAGCAGCCCAAGCGAATGATAGATGAAAGAAATGTCATTAGAGGCAGTCAATTAAAGAGCAAAGTAAGAGCGTCGAAGGACTCGATTGTCGTGTCGGGGACACGCTGAGGACTTTAAATTACCAGTCATAATTGTCATAGCAACGATAATGGCATCAATTACGATATAATATCAGAATTAACTTTGCCATCGATGAAAACGGACGACGCCATTAAAATCGTGCTCTCTCGTCGATGGCAAGATAAAGAGAAGACGCAAATTGAAGAGGTAACAAATAAAAAGACAGAAAAAAGGTGTCAGCCGTATCGTGCTCCATTATCGGACGAGTCAAAGCGACCGGCTGAAGACTGTCACGGTGCGAATCCTGCAATTAAAAACGTTTAAAAAAGAGATCCTCGCAAGTAACCATTATCAGTATCCGCATAAGGTATATTGTGAACGTTAAAATATTCAAGACAGAAAATGTCGCTCGTACGAGCCATAGTCAAAAATGAAACAAACTGAACTCGTCACTCGATACAACTAATGGGACCATAATGACCGGGCGACGGGTCCCTGGGCCCCACGCCCATTGGAAACCAACCAGAAAATGTCCCCCAACGTCCAATAACTCATATCCAAACATACATCGTATACGATGACAATGATCGTTATAGGTCATATACATAGGTGGACCCGTTTGGAAACGATGACGATCCGGTCCCGTCTCCTCCGAGAAGTAGGGGACCACGTCGGTTTCCGGAAAACTCGTAAAGCGAAGATTGCCTCGGGACTTTACGACTTTTCTATCGCGTTTTCGGGATTATTTGAGAAAATGGAATCCTTTGTAGGTTAAGGGGGAGCTTTCAGCGAGTCAACCCCCTCTGGTAGTAGCTTGTGATTTTCTTCGGTGTCAGTAAAGTGGCGCCGAAGTGTTGGTAGAACGTTAGGACCATTTCGCATGGCTGCCAATCCAACTGACTGACTTGTGAAATTGTTAGAAGTGGTTCTGTTTCCGACGTTGAAAAACAGAGGGCGTCAACGTCGACGGACGCCTCCCTTATACGCGCGCACAGTGGCACATATATACCATACTGTAAATATTATATATATATTGTATATATATATATATATATATACCAATTCCATACTATACATAGTAGTATGTACAGCCACGTGTATCGTAGAAATGCAAACCAGCTGTAAAATCGTAAAAGCGAAAATGTTACAAATGTAATGGACTCGGTAGAACCGATGGACTTGGGTGTTTTTGGCGTCTATACGTAAAGGGGAGGTTATGTACCAGAGAGGAGAGAATAAAGCGGAACTAGTAAAAGGACCGAGTACGAGGGTCGAGGAGAGTGGGAAAATGTCAAACGCATACGTCAAGTATTTTACAGCTTCCCCGTCGGCAAAGGAGTCAACGGCTGAGACAGAATGATCAGGAAAGCACGTGAAACCGAGAGGCTCCAGCAGCTCCGTAACGCGTCCAATAAAAGCGAGGACGCCGAGAGTAGTTTGTCGCAACGGTAATAACTCCTGGTCCACGACGCACTGGCTACGTCGAAGACACAGAAAATGGGCCAGCGGGTTAACGATAATGACGATCGGGTTAACTCGCAATGAATCGTTTGGTATAAAGAAAAGTTGCTCATTAGCAAATTACTAATATTTTATTCTGTAATACCTTAAGAACAGCCAGACAAGACGCTCACGACTAGAGATACCGATGAGGAAACTTGGATTTATTTTATGTAAATCGTTATGAAAAGATATTCTTGTTCGATAGCCGGCATGGCAGTACACCGTGCTCGCTAATGGCCGAAGATCTGGAATGTTAGGTTAGGACGCACCTGGACGTGTACGGTAGCGATACCTAATACTGATATGGTCGATATATGAATTTGGTTGGATAATATGTGGTCACCGGGTAGAGGCTAATTAAGCCAAGCAGCACGTTCTCTGTACCATATCCGATAAGACTAAACGGCTGCTGGAAGTGGCTGAGTTCCGTATCGTGGATCAGCAATGGCGCGTTACGCGGGTGATTTAGGATTGATTGGTTCGGTGCACCGGAGTATCGGTGCCGTGGGGATGGTCGACAGGTCGCCGGCGAGTGCGAGCTGGAGAATCGGAGCAAACGTCGTAAATTCATTAATAAATTACGCGAGCCAATTATAATTCTGTCCAATTCCGCGGCGGGCGTGGAGCCAATAAATCTCAGGAAAACAACCCGAGAGCCGTTGTGTCTCGGCGATTATACCCACCTACAACGAGTCACGCACGTATATACTCTTTTTTTCTCTCTCCTTCATTTACTCGCTCGCTCGCACTCCGGTTTCGCCTCTTCGCTTCACCATTCTCACACTAAGCTCTAGTGGTTTCTCATGTTTTCGGCTACTTCGTAAGGTATAGAAAAGATACAAATTTTAATTGACCAAAAATTTTCTCATTTTTTACAATCATTTTTAGTCAATTTTTTTTTGAGGTTAGATTTACGTATCATCACGTGACTCGCATGCGCGAGTCTTTCGTACCGAAAACTAGTGATTAGATCGCTGGTATGGTTTTATGTTATTAGCTGTTCGTTATCGCATTCCCTAGCAATATCGGATATTTTTGCTGATCCTGATTGCACCATCTTCTACCATCTCGTCAAGCTGAGATGGGATTGGCGGCGATGCCGTTCTCATGAGAACGAGCTCAACGGGACAGGTCGTGTCGAAACTGTTAATGCCGTGTTTCATTGACGCCGTTGCAAGAGTCGTTTCTCGCGACTATTTCAATGTTTAAATATAAAAGGTTGACACACGGTCGACCTCTTTTTCATCGTTAAGGCAGCCGAGACTTTGAACGAGTTTTCAGTAAAAATCTTATACAGCCCTTTATGACGTAAGTCAGTCTTGTGATTAAGATTGAAGTACCTGATGATCTAGTTGACATAAGAAAATTAGTAACCATCGTACTGTATATAATTCTTAATTAATTATAATCTACTTGTATCTATAGCGTGAGATATTATTATTATGGTTGATGAATCTAAGTTTACACGTGGTGATTCGGTAGCAGGTCATTCAGGATCTTAAAGGGGTCCCAAAAGCGTTAAGAGCCCAGTCTCCCCTCGTATAAGCCAGCACAGGCATCCGCTCTGAACCGGAGAGACCCATTCCGTCGGTATAGATTTATTTTTTCCTTTTGCTCGAAATCAATTTGTAGAGCACAGTCGATTAATTTTAAGGGAGCTAGTCGACCAGGTGGCTGTCGACCAGGCTGAAGTCTCAGCGAGCTCTAACCTCTCTTTACGTAGCTACTTCGTTTATATAGACCAACACGGAGGTCATTGAGGGTCGAAGAGATCATTAATGATATTTCCTCCTATGTTCCTCTTATTTGAATATCATTTTTTACCACAGAACATTTACATTCGAACCACTTACAAGGAAGGTTACCTTGGTGACGTCCCGAAAAATAGGATGTTTTTTTAATATTTTGCAGAGCTACTCAAGATACGTATGCAAAGAAATTAGCAGCCCACTGGAAACGATTTCTGGAACGTTTCGTGCATAAATACCACTATTGGTCTTAGAATATGTTAGGGAAAAAAAGAAAAAAAAATTCTGAAACACAACGATCAAAAAGGTAGATGGTGTATAGCTTACGAGATACACTGAAAAAAAAAAACTGGGAATCCAACAATTTTTTAGGGCTATTCCGACCCATCAATTGTTCATATAGGATAATTTTTTGCATACGGATGTATTTTGAGTGGCTCTGCAACATATTAAAAAAGATTCTATGTTTCGAAGCGTCGCCAAGGTAATCTTCCTTGTTAGTCATATCAATCCAAGTGGATTTAGTGTGACAGAAAATCAAGATTAAATTAATTTTCCTTAATTAGCACTTAAGTAATCGTTACTAATTAAATTGGTAATATCGAGAAAAATATTCCTGTTGCCTACCATAGGTTCTAGCAATACTTTATACTTGGAACATTCAGGTAAATCGAAGTTTCGCTACTGTTTCACAATCAATAGACACCAATCCAATTGGCACGTAACTGCCAACTGTAAGCTGTCATTCCCCAGTTTCACAGGAATCAATTGCAGCCCTCCGCACTTCAGTGGGCCAGACCACGAAGGATCTACCAGGAAGACAATTTCCTTTTTGTTCGGTATCGACCCGTGGGTAAGTCCCAAGTGATTCTAAAAGGGGGCGGAAGTCGTAAGGACGGATCAGCCGTACTGGCGCTGACTACGCCGAGGCACCGTCGAGGAATCCACACGGCTGCTACCGGAATCCAGAGTGAACGCAGCCATGCAGCTTTGGTTTTGACGCCATCGACTAGAGTCCCGACTGCTTG